CTGGGAGAGTTGCTGCTAAAGCCACTCCCACACCTTACATTTGAAAATACAAATTTTGAGTAGCAACAATCACCGTAAGACAATTCATTAAAGTCGGCGTGAAAAGGAAGTTGAGATTGTCATTTTTTCCTTGTTGTGACGTATATCCGAGTGAAATGGCTTCTGAAATTAGAAAAAAATTGATTACGTCTTCGGGAATTGATTGGATCGTTGGAGGTTGGGCGTCAGATTTGAATGCGATTCTCTGAGAGGCGGTGCACCGAAAGCCGCACCCTCATCGGATCTGGCCGCAACCTTTCACTATTGCATGTGACCGAAATAGAAGAGAGGTCGTTTCGATGGGGAAGGGAAGGGTGATGTATTTGATTAAAGATAATAAGGGTACATGAAAAAATAATGAAGTGCACAGATAAATCATTTATAAAAAACGCTACAATATTACATAATAAGAAGATTTGTCAAATTTGATTTCATGCCGACTTTAAAAGAATCATTTAAAACGTTGTTCCGAATCCATTCTCTCTCTCTTTTTTTTTGATGACTGAAGGAAATGCATCTTTGCCCTTTTCATTAAAATAGAAGTAACCAAGAAGTCTTAAATTTGAAAGACAAGACAAGGTATCATAAATGTAATGTATGCATTATTAGAATGCTATTTTTACTGTGAACCTCAGCACTGAGAGCAAACAGTACAACAGTGAAGAGAATATTGCTGAGTTAGAACTGAATTTCATTGTATGGAAAAAAAAAACACTGTAAAGTCATATATGTTTGGAACAGCATGAGTGTGAGTAAATGATGATGATCCAACGCATTCTCATGTCAAGGCGTCATAAACGACACTTTTGCCAAATCGTAGACATCCAACACACATGGCACCCTTTAGCGTCAATATAACACTTCGGTTATGGGTAGGTTTAGGTCTGCAGGGTTAAGCTTAGACCACTAGGAGGCGCCTTCTGGCCAATATATACTGTACCTGCGTCTCATATTGACGCTAAAGGGTGCCATGTGCGTTGGATCTGCATGTATACGCATTGGCAAAAGCGTTGTATATGATGCCTTGGGATGAGAACGGGCTAGATGATCTCATGGGACAAAGAACTATTTTACATGGTGGTGATTTCGTATGAATTTTATGAAGATTGTTCAAAAAACTTACAAATGAGATCTCACAAATTTATACATTTTACCCTCAAACTCACCAATACATAAAATAGTTCTGAACTGCCATGAGATTCAGATCTATCCTTTTAAAGCAAAACTTTAATTTTACAACTTTAGATATTCCAAGGGATCCTTAATATTCAATGTAGACTTGTAGATGTTCATTTATAGCGTTCTGGAGATTTTATGTTCATGTTTTTTTTATAATTCAGAACTATTTTGTTCCATATCTCTTTTAAATTCTTTAAACAGCTGCAGAGGGTTCACCAGATTTGGCCATCGCAACAGTAAAACAGTTTCTGCCATTTGCACGTTTTATTCCACCTCTTTTGCCCATTAATGAGAACACTGAACAATTCTCAGTGCACTGTTCGTTTCATTACTGCATGAAACGAAACCTCGCCATCAATTTCAAAGGCTTGTACATTCATACGGAGTACAGCGTAGAAGCTTAGATTTACTGTGAAAGATGTGCTGAATATTAACGAAGCCGATTCATCCCCCTTCTACAACACACTATCTGTTATCACTGGCCCCCACATATGAATAAAACAACCCGACTTTATTTTCCGTGGATGTAGGTCCAGAGAGGGTAGTGCAAAAAGAGAGCGTTTCCTCGCACAGCACGGGTGCTTAGCTCGGATTCAACAGCTCCTCTGCTTCAGTAAGATAGATACTAAAACATGGAAGTGTACGAGTGTGTGTGAGACAGAGAAGCCCCAGGCAGGGTCATAAAGCATTCGGCATGCTTATGGAAAGCTCATGTAACTCAACTTGGTAATGTGTTTCAAATGATTGAAAAACTGCCCGTATATTCATATGCGCACACATAGGTGTTAAATCAAGGAGCAAGTGTCAGCTTTTAGGAGAAACGTCACAGGCATGGACATATTATGAGTAATGGGAGTCAATGAACCAGTGAGATGGACGCATAGACACCGAAACACAATAGGACACGGTGAAATGAAGTATCAGTTCGCAATGTAAAATAAACTGCTGTAGGCCTACTTGTCTGTTCTCACCACATGAAAACTTGAGCAAGCAAGTGTGGTAAGATATTTGATCCCTTAAAGGATTAGTTCACTTTTGAAAAAACTTTTGTCATCCAAGATGTCCATGTCTTTCTTTCCTCAGTCGAAAAGAAATTTAGGTTTTTGATGAAAACATTCCAGGATTTTTCTCCATATAATGGACTTCAATGGGAACCGGATGGTTCAAGGTCCAAAAGATAGTGTTAATAACAGTTTCAGATGCAGCTTCAAATGTCTTTAAACGACACCAGACGATGAATAAGGGTCTTATCATGCGAACCGATCGGTTATTTCAAAACTTATTCCAAAAATTTAACTTTTCTAAGGACAAATGCTAGCCTTGCTATATTCTCTGAGGCGCGTTTGTAACGTCACGTAATACGTAATTACGTTCAAAAGGTCACGGGCGACGTAGCCGGAAGTACATAATCAAAATCGTCCGACATCGTTGTTTTACCTTTTAATTCCTTTTTTTGTAAACGGTGTTTGAGCTAGTTTGCACGTTCAACTTGTAAACACTGACTCTGTACTTTCGGCTACGTTGCCCGTGACTTTTTGAACGTAATTACGTAATACGTGACGTTGCAAACGTGCCTCACAGAATAGAGCAAGGAATTTGTCCTTAGAAAAGTTACATTTTTGGAATAAGCTTTGAAATAACCGATCGTTTCGCATGATAAGACCCTTATTCATCGTCTGATATCGTTTAAAGACATTTGAAGCTGCAACTGAAACAGTTATTAACTGTCTTTTGGACCTTGAACCATCCGGTTCCCATTGAAGTCCATTATATGGAGAAAAATCCTGGAATGTTTTCATCAAAAACCTAAATTTCTTTTCGACTGAGGAAAGAAAGACATGGACATCTTGGATGACATGGGGGTGAGTAAATTATCAGCAAAAGTTTTTTCAAAAGTGAACTAATCCTTTAACTATTTTTACTGTATGTTGTTACGTGATTTATTCTAAAAATGTCCTTGCATGACCTAAGCAACTTTCTTAAAGTCCCCCTGTGGTGAAAATCAAGTTTTAATGTTGTTTATGTGGTGTTTTTAATGTGCTTAGATACAAACCATGTGCAAATTCATAAGTCAGCATCATTGTTGAGCATTTTCTCTGAACCAAGAACAATCTCAAAAACGCGGTTTGAAATCCCTGGAGTTTCTGACATCACAAACTACATTATAATCGATCACATCAACACGCCGGCGGGCTTTAGCATATCATTATCAGCAAACTAACAGTAGAGTCTCTAAAGTAATACCCGCTATTTTTGGTAGGTTTAGAAATATAGTGGGTCTATGATGTATATTAGGATGTTATGATGAACTATATGCCTTTCTCCACTGACGTTCTGTGGTTTTTAAAGAGTTTCTGATGATTTTTAGCTGTCTGAGTCTGAGGTGGTGAACGGGAACATGGTGTGTGTAACAGTCACAACACGTTATTAGCTGTTTGATAACATAGTCAAGCAAAAGGCTAATCATATTAATACCGTTGTGTCTGACGTTGTAAAGAGAGTGCAGCATTTACCTCAGTCGGCCAAGTGGACCTGAGTAAGTGAGTGGAGGCGGGGCTAACTAGCATATTCATTGATACTAAATGAAGCTAGGGTGTAGAGTTACACTCTTTTCACAAAGGACTGATCCACATTTGTAGAGATTGTAAATGTCATTCTTTGTCTTTAATGCATTATTCTAATTAATATTTGAAAGGTTTTTAATGATCCTCAAAGTTAAATATTTCCAACTGAATTATTGAAGCCAAGCCTGTAAATTCTTTTGATTCTGACATGACTCTTTATTGCATTATTGTGATGCACTGGCTTACAGAAAGTTGCACGACGCAAGTCCCAACACGTCAGATCTGATTCCAGCAATGCATTGCTCGACAGTAACCTTGTCTTAATTAAACAAATTTACCATTAAAGGGATTGTCTCTTTCATAGCATAACAATTAGAATATAGCGCGCAATTAGTCACTCTATTTCCGGGAATGATAACACCCGTCTGGCACACTGTTTAAATCCCAGTGCAATGAGAGCATTAATGAGCTCGTCACGATGGCACAGTCACACCAATAAACGCGACATACTCCCATCTAGCGGAGAAAAGCAAAACCGTGAGACACTTGATAATCATTCCTGAACTTTCTTTAATAACTTCGGCAGAGCAGGATTACATTATACAATGCTTAATTAATTAGTTCTTAATGTACATAGTTATAAATGTCCTTTCATTCATATTATTTTTTAGATAATATTCCAATATTTAATCTTAAATCTGCGAGTCTGAATCCACTATTGTGAAAATAATATTATTATTACACATTATATCATCTTAAAAATAACGAATTTTAATTGAGAAATAAGAATACATTGATAATTTTCTATTTGGTATGCCCCTATTTTGCTTTAATGACAAACTTTTTGCAAAGCTGGATGATCCACATTATCCCATCATAATTTAAAAACATTCCAAAATAATTAGACTTTTCAATGGACATAATTCAATCTTACCTTACTATCTATATATCCATCCATCTGTCTGTCTCTCTGGCTTTCACAATACTTGTGTCTGACAAAAAAAATGTCTAATATTTTGTTGTTGTCCAATTATTAGGTTTTTCAGGATTGTGACAAACTGAAATTAAAGAAACCAATAATGTCTGTTTGATTCAATTGTGTATTTCGTATACAGCAATAGTAGGCTCTATTTGCTTATATTAGGTGTATATCTTTTTTTGTTTTGAAAGGGGAAAAAAGTGCGTCTGCGTTTTGACGCATCTAAGCGCTCGATCCAATCGCTCCGTGACGTGGAAAGGCATAATTACAGAGGCTGTGAATGATCAAATGAGTAGCTAAGTTATTGGGAGGCGACACTCGTCATACACAGATATTCATTAAAAACTAATTACGGCGCAATGCCGCCATAAGGAGGTGCCATCTCGGTAATTTCAATGAGTTTCGAGCGCAGTGACGAGTGTCGACAATCACGGTAGTTTTAGGGGCTAATATTCACGTCTAAAGACCTGCTGCTGGTGACGTCATAAAGAGATTCAGAAGTGAGTTTCACAACCTCCCCAAAATTAAAAAAAAAAAAAAAAATCGCCGGGGTGGCACGCGCACAGTGTGCTCGCGCGCACGCGGCATTTGCAGCCTCAAATGAGCAGCTCGCGCTGAAAAGGCTCCCTCGTTTTGACTGGCTGCGCAGGTAAGACCCGCTCGATTTAGATCGACCACGTCCAAAAAGCGAAAAGTATTTTTAGTCACATTATGTGATACAAATAAAATTGTGTGTATGATTGGCTGAAACACAGTATTCCACGGATTGTGTTTGATTTCAACGCGCACAGTTTGTCGTGTAAATATGTTGACTAATCGAAAAGTGGACATGTTAAATGTGTAAGGATCTGTTATTATACGACTGTTGAAGATACAAAAAAGAAAAAAAGGATTGCTGACAAAACGACTCTGAGGTATTGCATGCAGATACAAGGAGCCTTTGAGCAGCCCTGGAGAACTTGTTAGGCATACCAAGAAGCTCCACAAGAGGCGAACCTTTTTGGTGAGATTTAATGACCCCAAGGAATTATTTTGTGGATTATTCTTCTTTAATATGCGGGAATTAAACAGCAACCTCAAGAGCTTTGATAAAAGCAAGCACATCTTAACGCACAAGGAGAAGAAATGTAGACTCGAATAGCTCTCCATTCGTCTCCCGTTTCATTTGGAGAGCGGCGACGGTGCCGGAGTGAAGCTGAACCAAACAGAAAATTGGATCTTTTTAGCCTAAAATCATGATCGCACGGATACTCTACTTTTTTCTTTGGTCTGCGGCATTTCTTCCCGATCTGGAGTGCGCTTCTCAGAGAACCGCGGACGCGCTTACTACTTTCCCCACGTCCGCGTTCCTCAACGCCACCGACAGAAAGGACTCCAACCAGACCTCCCCCTCTCGGATCAAGAGGAAGACGCTCTCGGTGGATTTCGCCGTCCCGTCGCTGTTACGTTACTACTTGGCTCTGTTTATAAAGCGCCCGCTTAACGGAGACTGTCTGTCGTTTAATGGATGTTACACGGTGCGCGCGAACTTGCTCATGCGCTGCGTTCCGTTGCAGAAAACCATCGCCAGTTTGATTGACGTAAAGTTGGCCGGGATGAACCTCAACAGATCCAGCACTGGACAGCTCCCCTATCGACAGAAGCGTCCCGTGCCGAAAGTTTTGAATTTAGGCTTGACCAGCGCCAGTCGAAAGTCCAATCAAGTTGTGGTGGAGGTGGGCGAAGAGATGGTTAAAACGGGATGTGGAGGACTGCATGTGTACGAGGACGCGCCGGTTGTGTTCCTGGAAATGGACCTAACGCGGATTTTGGAGTGGTGGCTGGGGGCGGAGGGAGGCCGGCTCAGGGTCCGACTCATGCCCGAGCGGAAAGTGCAGGTCCCGGGGAAAGAGGACAAGTACTCCGCTGCCATCAGAGCTTCGGACGCCCGCCTCTTCGTTCACATCGCTTCAAGTGGTAAGAAGTCAACTTCGCGATGATTGCAGTGTTTATAGAAGGTTTACTTTATACTTTATGTCAAGGTGTCCATGTTAAATTGTAATTAAACATTTAAGTACTGAGTATAGCCTAACTACATCCTACTTAGGTTAGGATTATGATTGGGTTTTTGATTTAGAGTTAGTTGCATGTAATTAAAGATAATTTATAGTTATGGCATATGTAACAGTGACACAGTAAAATAAAGTGTTAATTTGCAGTGTAATTAAATGCAGAGCAGTCTCCAAGGTTAAAGGTGGAAACTGTTTTATCAGCAATTGATAAATGTAAGGCCCTGTTTAAATATAAACATACACAGTTCATTTCGTACTTGTGCTCGGTTTATGTTTAATCTGCAGTCGGATATCTTAATAATGACCTTGTGACTTCAGCTCAATTCAATATTTCACATCCATGTAATTATAAATATGCTGATTAGCTGAGTAATAAGCCTGATGATGTCATCATAAACGTATCTTGATCACCCTGTTGGGGTTTATTTGTGTGATAATGTGCATTATCCATTGCATTACAGTGAGAAAAGTTTGTGTACAGCAAAAAAAAAAAAAGTTTGGTTATGCTGACATTTGTCACTTCCCCCTTTGTATTGTTGCAATGCTATCAGTCTTGGTAATTCATTGGCTGTTCACAAGGGTGGCACTGCAACACCATTAAAGACTGCACAGCATCACTGCACACACAACAAGAGGTAAAATCGCATGAGCTGACCGATGCAAAACCCATTTAATGGCTCGCCCCATCCCTCCTGTAAAATCCAAAAACCATTGATCTGTTTTCTCATCGTAATTTAGTGTTGAGAATCTCAGTGTTGACCTACAGTAAGTCGAGCAACCACTACAGGCTTTCATTCATTATTTGGCAACAGCAACGTGTTTCTGATTAAACATTTGCAATGTTTTCTTGATGAATCAGTTTATTTTGCACGTCTTGAGGGAGTTCACAGACCTCAAGAGATAAGTTAAGGTTTTTATGACCGCTGCATAAGCACTATTTTTGTAGTGTATACTGCGTGTTCTGAAGTACAGGCTTTAGTACCAAATTATGGGTTATTTCATTACAAGTCCAACAGCTGCTGACCCTCCCAGTTTTCTTTACTTTTTTTGTGACTCTGATACTATTTGCTTTATCAGAGTAAACAGCACTTCTGCTGAGGTTAGGTTAACATAATATTGCCTATGTACACCCAGTCTTTGGTCTTTGATTCTGACACATTCCTTTCCTTTTACCTTTCTCATTCATCTCCCTTGAAAGCTTCCTCATTTTTGATGATTTTTCTGTTGCTGCTTCAAGCAGGATTCGAGTTTCTGGTGCAGCCCACATATTGTGATTTGAAAGGTCTCTGAAACCCTTCATCAGTGAATGATGCTATTCAAGGCTGATTCATTCTTTGCTCATTCAAAAACGTTATATATATTCTATGGCATCCATCATCAACCCTCTCTGTCAAAGATGTCCTTTTTTAAGAAGCAGATCGATGGAACCATGGTGGTATTTTTTCCCCCCCTACATGCTCTGCTGTTTTTACTCAAGTTGATAAATAATTATTATAGTCAGTCTGGAATCTTTTATACCAATCATACTTTGATTACAGCGAAGATACTGTAGCCGCAGAGACTTGAGTGCCTCTTGAGTTATTTATGAAATTACAAGAACTATAATCATGCTGAAATCACATAAACTTGCTTTTTCTGTTTTAATATTGCAGAAAAGGTTCTATATATAACCTTAAAAGGTTCTATCAGTGCTACATATTTGGAACCCCTAAAAGGTTTTATACACTCTTAAAAAAAGGGTTCCTCTGGGTTCTATATAGAACCCTGGGGTTCCATACTTGGCCAATAGAACCTTTTACCAAAAAAAAAAAAATGGTTCTATATAGAACCATTTTGGAGTTCCATATATGAAGCGGGGGATGGAACCATTTCTGGTTCTAAATAGAACCATTTCTTCTAAGAGTGCACACTCTAAAAATGCTGGGTTGTTTCAAACCAAGGTTGGGTCAAATATGGACAAATCCAAGCTTTGGTTTAAAATTTTTAATTGCATTTTTAAACCCAACGATTGGGTTTGCCCATATTTGACCCAATCATGGGTTAAAACAACCCAGCATTTTTTAAAGAGGATACTATTTAATGCCTAATGATACTATTTAATTACTAATGTTATTAGTAATCATATGTGTTCATTTTTTGTTGGTTTTTGTTAGATAAACACTAAAATGTTATAGATGTACATGGAATGTATACACTCTAAAAAATGCTGGGTTGTTTCAACCCAAATTTGGGTCAAACCCAAATGTTGGGTTAAAAATGACATTTAAAATGTTAACCCAACTTCAACTTTTACTTTCAACGGTACATTTTTTTAAAGTACATTTTTAAACCAACATTTGGGTTTTTCTATATTTGACTCAAATTTGGGTTGAAAAAACAACCCAGCATTTTTTATAGTGTAGATTGTGTACACTCTAAAAAATGCTGGGTTGTTTTAACCCAACTTTGGGTCAAATATGGACTAACCCAGCTGTTGGGTTAAATTTTTACATTACATTTTTAACCCAACATTTCAGGTTTGTCCATATTTGACCCAAAATTGGGTTAAAACAACCCAGCATTTTTTAGAGTGTAATTATGAAATCAATTTATTTATCATTTATTTGACTCAGTGAACTGATTCTATTTTATCCGGTGTGATTTTTAAACAGCAGTGTTTCAGTTAGGCTTCATACTTGTTGAGCTTTAAAGATAATTCAATTCATCAATACAAAGAGTGCAAATGACTTTCATTAATCCCATCTAGATTCCATTTATAAATAAATGTGCCATTAAAAAAGTAATTTACTTGTAAATGAGAGTCTGAGTATTGAACTCGGACACCTGTGGCGATGCCCTCTCAGAAACTCCAGCAATTTCACATCTGACCTCTCCTTAGAGGATACATAAAAGAAAAAAAAAAAAATTCTTTACTTTTCCGATTAGGTCAAACATACAGTAGATTGCATTTCAGTGTGTTTCCAATTCCAAACATACACAAATGTATGTGTACAACATTTGAATCTTTCACTGTAAAATCTTGAGCAGATGAAGTATGATCCACGAACATCACATAATCTGTAATAGAGGTATCAAAGGCTTGTTGTCTTTTGCGGAGTGGTCAGGTCTAATCCTTCAAGACTCCCAGAGGCCGCTGAGACTTTCTCATCTGAGGGTCAGAAAAGTCATTAAGATTTCTCTCTCCCCTCAGTCCTGGTGCTTTGTGACATTGTCTGTCCTCTGCTGCTCTCAGCATTCTTCGTTGCAATCAAAATTTCCTCTTCACGAGCACACTATTCCATGTTCTTCATTTGTCCTCAGCTTGCTTTCTGCGGTATGTGATGTGAATAGCATGAAACAAATAATATTTCAACACAGGCTCACAGGAAAAACAGTTTTATAGAAAATCAGGCAAGTATTACGTTTGTTGTTGTACGTGGGAGTTCAGTGTCCGGTGAGTGGCGCGTTTGAAAATAACACACACCTACACTAAACCCTAAACATACCCGACTTTTGCTGATAGTTTACTCACCCCCGTGTCATCCAAGATGTCCATGTCTTTCTTTCTTCAGTTGAAAAGAAATTAAGGTTTTTGATGAAAACATTCCAGGATTTTCTCCATATAATGGACTTCAATGGGAACCAAACGGTTCAAGGTCCAAATGAGAGTTTCAGTGCTGCTTCAAAGGGCTTTAAACCACACCAGACGATGAATAAGGGTCTTATCTAGCGAAACGATCGCTCATTCAAAAAATAAATAACAAAATTTAAGTTTTATTAGCACAAATGCTCGCCTTGCTCTGTTCTGTGAAGAGCGTTCGTGACTCTCCTGGTCATCAAAATGAACAAATCTTTTTTCGAGTCATGACTCGAAGGGTCCTAGATAAGACCCTTATTCATCGTCTGGTGTCGTTTAAAGCCCTTTGAACAGTTTGCACTGAAACTCTCATTTGGACCTTGAACCGTTTGGTTCCCATTGAAGTCCATTATATGGAGAAAATCCAAAAACCTTAATTTCTTTTCGACTGAAGAAAGAAAGATGTTGGATGACATGGGGATGAGTAAATTATCAGCAAAAGTTTTTTTAAAAAAAAGTGAACTACTCCTTTAACTAAAGCAAGCGTGATACAAAAACATATTTCTGAATTGCTTGAGCTCTTTCATCGTGTTTCAAAGGACTACCCGTGGGCTCTGCATCACAAATGTTAAATTCATCCGATCACACTAAATGCATCTATATAGCACGCAGTGTGTTTATCATGCAATTTATACTTGAAAATGAGTTTTTATGTGCATATAATACGCATGGGTTGGTTAGGGTAGGTTTAGTAGTGGTGTGGGTGGGTGCGTGTGTATTATGTTGGGTAGAATTATTGGTGTGGTGTGCAACAAATGAACTGTGTATCTAAATGCACGCGGAAACTGCGTATCATATGCACATAAAAACTAATTTTCACATATAAATTGCACGATAATACACAAAACGTGCTGTAGAGACGCATTTACGTGAGAACAGGTTGACCAGAAAAGCCACACAAAATGAAGATGATAATGTCAAAATACGTTAGTGTTTTAAAGTAAAAGTGTATTGAGTTCGATGAAACATGCATAAAAAAGTCTTGATTAATCAATAATCTGCCGCTGCATTATGTTGAAAAGGAATACAAGTTGATTGGTGTTTTACTTCCTTGTGGGAACTGCAGTGAATTGTATGTATTGGTTAAATTGTTTTGTGTTTTGCAAAAATGTAGGTAGAGGCACTCCAATAAGCCTTTGTTGTAATATTTATAGTAGTAGTAGTAGTAGTCGGAATATAGATCAATATGCACAATCAGGATCTTTTTGGTAACACATTTTGATGGTCCGCTTTAGACATCGTAACTATGAGTAACTTTTCAACTTACCCCCATCACAGTATTAGTAGAC